ATCATATATTTTATACTTGTGCTAGTCCTACTTATTCCTCCATTTAAGTAGCCATAGAAGTATTTAGTGTGGTAGTCATAAGCTCCAATACTGCATATATTTTAACCTTGTGGTAGTCATAAGCTCCTATACGTCTATTATTATCTCACTTTTTAGGACCATTTCCATTTCGTTTGATTCTCAAATCTAAAAGAAGAGTATCAATTGTCAACCAAGATAAACTATTAATATATGAACATTCATAAACTACAAAATGTTTATCAACAAAATCAACATATAAAACAAACTTACTTATATTCTATGAACACAACAAATGATCACAAACCGTATATGGTGAGCATCCATTGTCACGTTGACTTTGCACATATAAAAGACTAAATCGTATTTATAATTTGGTGAAGAATAAAAATAATAGTAATAATGAGAAATATAAGATCTTGAGGCCCAATGAATGAAACAAGAAAGACCTTTCTAAAACGGGATAACAACTCCTTCATACACACGTCCCTCGGAACAAAAATTGTAAGAATTACACAACTAGAATAATTAATATGAAGAACACATAATATGAAGGACAAAAATTACTCAGGATCCCNCGCATTAAAGTTCAATCTCAGCATCCTTAAGAACCTGCCAAAAGAAAATAAAACATCAAAAAATGAAAAGACAATCAAATGTTTACCTTGGGACGTGTATCTTGATAATCTTTGTCGTTGTAATGGTTGAAAACATTTTTCAAATTTACTAATTGTTGGAGATCTAACAAATATAGAATAAACAACAGTGTCTTCTTTCTTTCCAGATGACTCTTTCAAATTTTTAATCGGTTCCCACCATTTTTCATTATTTTCATAAACTATCATGTCGATGGCATACAAGGGACACAGTATCCTTTCCACTAGTTCACTGACTTTGAACAAAAAAGTCACACGTTCTTTTACATTCCAGAAGAACGAAAAATAGATCAAAGAGTCGAATGTTATAACCGACATGTGACAAAGAAAATATAATTATGAGAATAATCAATGACATGACAATTGATAGCAAGTAATACTAAATGACAAACATAAAGCATTCATTGACTAGCAAAAAAAAAAGATTTCATCTCCTCATCCAGCGAATATTCATCTTCATTTTCGCTTGCTCTAGTCATGTTGCATCAATCTTGCATCAATCTGGATACCAACTGCACAGAAAGGGGTATACAATGACATTATACACAATCTCTCTAAGATCATTAACATTTCACGTATGTCTATTTCCCTTTTTCTTACATGATGCTACAAAATATACACTTTATGCACATGGCTTGATTTTGCCTTGAATTACAAATAAAAATGCCCATGCATTAAGCCCCAAACAAGAGAGGTTCAAACTAGATAAAACTCACAAGTCTCTGATAACACCGCTGCCACAAAATAACAAATAATAAATAAAGTTTTAGAATATGAAATATCAATATCAATTATAAGTTAATAAAACTAAAAACACAGTAAAATACTTAGCGAAAAATACGTTTGAAGTATAGTTTGATAAATTTTCACCATTTATCTTTGTCTCTATCTTTCTGGCTTTTCACATTTTGGCGAAAAACTTGGCATCGCTCCTACAGCCAAGTGGCAAAATAAATACCTTGCTCGACAACAAAGTCGAACACGGCAACCTCAGCTACATTTTTCCAAAGGTGGTGGAGATTCGGAACTTCAAAAAGAAATACAAAGGACAAGGAGGAAACTTCGAATGCAGTAGTGAAAGAAGGCAAGATAGTGGAAGAGAAAATCATCACTAAGGTGCCGTGTGATTTTCTCACAGTTCAAACTCAGTGATGATTTTCTCTTCCACTATCTTGCCTTTTTTCACTACTGCCTTCGAAGTTTCTTCTTTATATTTCGTATTTCTTTCTGAAATTCCGAATCTCCACCACCTTTGGAAAAATGGAGCTGAGGTTGTCGTGTTCGACTTTGTTGTCGAGCAAGGTATTTATTTTGCCACTTGGCTGGAGGAGCGATGCCATATTTTTTGTCAAAATGTGAAAAGTCAGACAAAGATAGAGACAAAAATAGAGTGGTGGAAATTTATCAAACTAAACTTTAAACGAATTTTTCACTAAGTATTTTACTGTGTTTTTAATTTCATAAACTTGTCGTTTATATTGATATTTCATATACTAAAACTTTATTTATTATTCGTTATTTTGTGGCAGCAGTGTTATTAAAGGCATGTGAGTTTTATCTAGTTCGAACCTCTCTTTTAATGCATGGGGTATTTTTATCTCTAATTCCCAAGGCAAAATCAAACCATGTGCAGAAAGTGCATATTTTGTAGCATCATACAAGAAAAAGGGAAACAGACATACGTGAGATGTTAATGATCTTAGAGAGACTGTGTATAATGTCATTGTAAAACCTTTCCGTGCAGTTAGTATCCAGATTGATGCAACATGACTAGAGCAAGCGAAGATGAATATTCGTTGGATGAAGAGATGAAATCTTTTTTTTTTTTTTGCTAGTCAATGAATGCTTTATATTTATCCTTTAGACTATCACTTGTTATCAATTGTCATGTCGTTGATTATTCTCATAATTATATTTTCTTTGTCACAGGTCCGTTGTAACATTTGACTCTTTGATCAATTTTCTGTTCTTCTGGACCGTAGAAGAACGTGTGTTTTTTTTTTTGTTCAAAGCCAGTGGAAAGGCTATTGTGTCCCTTGTATGCCATGGACATAATAGTTGATGAAAATAATGCAAAATGGTGGAAATCGATTAAAAATTTGGAAGCCATCTAGAGAAGACGTTGTTCTTTATGCCATATATGCTAGACCTCCATACGTGGCGATCGTAGCTTCTTGGGATCCAGAGGGTACTGGGCTCGTCCTTTGAATGTAGTTCGGCCCAATTATTCGAGATATGTCTTGGCCCGACCCATACTTTAAGGTGCAACATCCTTCAATATAAAATCAATATTCGTGATTGTATATGTTGTTCCGCCATTAGTTTTTCATCATATATTTTTAATAGTCAAACATGACTACCCTATATATGTGATTGAGGAATTGCTTGATGAGTTACATGGTGCAGCCAATTTTTCTAAAATAGACTTGAGCTTAGGCTATTTCCAGATATTAATGAAACCAGACACCTCACTGCATTTAACGCACACACAATGGGCAGTTTGAGTTCCTGTAATGCCCTTTGGGCTATTGTAATGCCCCAGCAATATTCCAATCCTTGATGAACCAAATTTTGGGAGAATTACTGAGGAAGTATGTGCTTTTTTTTTTTTAAAGATACTTTGGTATATAGTAAAACTGGAGTGATCACTTAAATCACTTCGAGGAGGTTTTGCACATTTTGAAAAAGAAAAAATTGTATGCTTAGAGGTCAATTTTGCCAACACAAGAGGTAGAATATCTATGGCACATAATTACCCCAGAGGGGTAACCACAGACCCCCAGCAAAATTTCCAACATGTTGGATTAGCCTATTCCAACTACTATGCTAATTCTGTGGATTCCCCTGCTTATCCCAAGTTCAAAGTAGAAGAATAACTTGTGAGGTATAAAGGGAGGCTGTGTGTGGGGGAGGCACCACAGCTAAGGGAGGTGCTACTACAGGCCATGCATGACACTTCTTATGGGGGCACTCAGGAGTTTATGGCACTTACATAAGGCTTAAAAGGGTTTTTGTTTTCGTGGCCTAATATGAAAAAGAATGTAGAGGAATGGGTTAAGCAATGTGATGTGTGCACAATGAATAAATAAGATAACAGAAGATATGCAAGGAAATTGCAACCCCTACCAACCCCTACCCATACCTGGACTAATATAACTATGGACCTTGTAGAATAATTGCCAAATTCTGGGGGGGAAAGTGTGATTATGGTCATAGTGGACAGGATCACCAAGTATGCTCACATTGTGGCCCTCTCACATCCTTACACATCACAAACAAACAGTGGCTAAGGTGTTGTTAGATGTTGTGCACAAGGTACATGGTAACCCTATAGAGATAAAGATTTTACCAGCAGTTTTTGGAATAAACTATTTAATTTGGTAGGGATAAGGTTGGATATGTCATCCTTTTACCAAACACAAAAGGTTAACCAATGCTTCGAAACATATTTGAGGTGCATGGTTAACTAAAATCCTAAACAATGGTTGAAGTGGCTACCTTTAGTTGAGTACTTGCCTTTAGCTGAGTACTAGTACAATACAAATTACCATATTAGCTTAAAGGCCACCACTTTTGAGACACTATGGCTACCCACCCCCAATGCAATCTCTTGATCCTTACATACATACCCCAAGACTCTGATGCCAAACAATTCACGAAACGGAGACAAGAAGCAATGCAGGATTTAAAGGAAAACTTTAAGATGGCACAAAATCGCATGAAGATATATGCAAACAAAAATAGACAATAGAGGAGTTTTGAGGTTGGAGATCAAGTCTTTCTCAAGTTGCAGCCTTATATACAACAATCAGTTGTCCTGAGAAGAGAAGAAACCTAAAGCTGAACTCTAAGTACTATGGATCATACACTATTTTAGAGCGTATAGGAGAGGTGGCTTACCTGTTAGACCTACACCAAAGGAATCGAGGGTGCAACCCCGGTGTTCCTTCTCTTTCCTTGCTTTTCCTATTTCATTCCCCTTCTTTCTTGTATTTTTCTTTTACGTGACAATCAAAGGCAATTAAAGGCTGTAAGTTAGAATACTTTTCCCTTTTTTTCATTTATGTTGAGTATACTTCTCCACTTCCTTTATTTGTTCTTCTTTTTTCTTTACACTTTATTCACATGACATAAACTTAATATTTGGACATTTTCTTATTTTTTAGAGTAGCAATCACATTAAAATGTCAAAATACTGCAAATGGGATGTTGGCTGATTTTCATTTTCTATTATAAGATTTTTATGTGCTTGGAGAATATTTGAGATTGTTTTTGTCATTTTAACTCCATACCACTATTTAAGTTAATATATTGGTGGCTTCTTTGCTAGGATTTACCTCGTGCATCGTGGCCAGGCTATGGACAAATCAAAGACTGTGGAAAAGATGATGGAAGAGCTAATCAAAACCCAAGCAGCGCACAACAAAGAATGAAATACTATTCAGATTGCAGGAGGTGGGTAAGAGAGTTCTTAGGCATTTAAAGGACATGGAAAAAATTTGAGCTTTGTCAGAAAAGAGACCATAACAGCGTATAAAGTTAAAAGGAAAGAAGTTGAATTCGCCTCAATAAGAAAACGCATAAGCGGTTAATAGCAAAGAAGTTGAAATTTGTGATCATCATCAGATCATAGGAAGACGTGAAGGTCTGATATATAAAGGTGCCTAACCAACTTGTTAGAGCAGCTTGAAAAGCGCAAGGAAGAGAAAACAAAAGGTGTGATATTTCTCAAGTGGTAATATTAGTCGATTACTGCTTTAAGTGGTCGATTTCTCTTCCTTCATCAGCCCATATAGAGGTTTAATTTCTATGCAATAAAATCGTGTTTTTCAGTTCACTATTTCAACAGAGCAAGGGCAGAAAACAAGAAAGGGGGAGGGAGGGAGGGAGAGACTATTTTACCTTAAATTGTTCCTCGGTCAACTCCTTTAAAGTCAAATACCTTAGTTCTTCTTCATATGCTTTGTCAGCTTTAACGGTATCATGCTATAATTCAAGCATAGCAATATGTTCCAGAAGCTGAGCTGCCTTAAAACCCACTTTAGTTCGCTTGTAAAGGGAAGACTGCCGACAAAATTCAGTAAAGTGCATGTTAAATTGATTGAAACCATAAGCACATTATCATAAGGATTAATCCAAACGAATGAAAGAATGCATATCCAATTAACTTTATATGTGCATTTTACATAATCTTACCATGATTGACTTTATCGACAATAGGGAGAAGATAAAATGTCTCGCCAAGTTTATCAGTCTCACGTTCATCTAGCAAATTAGATTCTTTCAGATTTTGAGCTAACTTGACATCATTATCTCTCAATTTATCAGCTGAAGGGCTTTATCAACAATTGTAAGAACTTTAGATTCACCGCGAAGAAAATAAATCAAAACTGAATATGAATACCTTACGAAACGCGAATTTAAAGTTATTCGAACATACTGACATACAGAGATTAAAACTACATCAAAGTGAAAAGAAATAAAAAAGGCCATTAGGATAAAATTAGATTCAGAAAATGGGTAACTAAAAGACACCCAACAACGATAGAATAGAAATATTTTTTTATAAATTGATGAAGAATACACAGTCAAAATCAATAGAAAATTAATTGTAGGGCAAGAAAATTGAGAGAAGAAACAGTCTCTATTCGAAGTGAACCACAAATTCCAAATCATTTAACCATGAAACGACTCCCTATAGTGCAGTAGAAAACACCGTCGCTTTGCAGTAAAANACATTAGAAACCTCCATCAGTTAATTTGCAACCCATGGTTACTTAGAGACAGTATTAGCCTAACTAACATCAGGTAAAAAAAAAGACTAACTCATCAACTTCAAAATTTTGGTTAAATTGTAAAAAATTGAAATCAAAAGAGACAGAACATACCTCACAAATAGTATCAGGATTGCGAACAGGGTCAGCATCAGACGATTATAAGATTCTCCCTGTTTGCGACCGCTAGATCGTTCGGCCCATGAGTAAAATTCTCAGGAGAAAGATTCGGACAATCAAACTTGGGATTGGATCTGTTGAGTTCAAAATTGGATCCCTGTTGTTAAGAGTTGGAGGAAATTGGACTCTTCGTTCACATCTGAGTGCTCTGCCCAGACGACCATGGCGAATAAGAGTCCAAATCTACACCAAAGCGGTGCAAAGGAAGAAATCGATATGAGCAGTCAAAAGGTCGGAAAAAATACCAATTACAACATACAAATAATTCAAAATTGAATCCAAATAAGAAACTGCTAACACTTTCGAAAGATTTTCGCAAAGAAAATATACACAATAGATTCTATTGAAATCTGAAGGCGAGAGAAATCGGCTGAAAGAAAAAAGTGCATCGTCTATGGAAGAACTAAAACCGAGTGAGAAATATCTATACACAAACGACGTCGTTTCGATGAGAACGACGTGGCCGTGTAAATAGCAGCGACACACGTCAGATAGAGGAGGCAAAATTCTTGTTTATAGATAAGGTAATAGATAATATATAAAATATGCTAAAAACCATCACTTCCTCCAATGAATCTGATCCATCAGGCATGTAAAAAATCCTCAGACAACCTGGATGTGCTTGTTGGATTTAAATTGACAACAACATAAAGTATATTAGATAGTGAACTTGAGGAATAATATCAGCATGCACCTGATCCTATCTACCAAACAGCTTGCGAGCAGCAAATACATCAAAACCTTAAAATTTAAACAAATCAAGGATAACAATAAGTGGTAATATACAAATAAAAAAGGTGTGGGAAATTTACACTATGCAAGTACACATACGTCATATATTGATAAACAAAAACCATATTAGTTTTAACAAAAACAAAAAGAAAAAGATTTACATGACCCTAACAAACATAAGAACATTTTAAATCTTTACACCTAGATAAACCTACAAAAATATACCAAACTTTTGAGAAGCTAAATATGAAAACTCACCAAACACATAATATACAGACAAATAAGAGAAATCTAATAGATGCATCTACGTGTGAGTTCACATAGAAACCTTAGAAATCTTTAGAGTTGGATAAACCAACAAAAATATACCAAACTTTTTTTGAAAAACTAAATAAACAAACTCACCAAACACATAATATAGAGACCAAAAACAGAAAGCTGATAGATGCAACTATGTATGAGTTCACAGCAGGTGATATTCTTTAAAAAAGATGACATATGAAGATAGATATGTTTTCACATTACGGGTGCAATGTTTTCTTTTGATTTCTGAAAGATAAAAATGGAAGAGATAAAAATGAATGTACTGTATTATGTAGAAAATGTCAGACTTATCTTAGTAAATATATTATAATAATACATACCTTACAATGAGTCGAGAAAACACAAATAAACTCAAAAACTCTACACAAAGATACGTTTGGCCTAAAATAAAGCACAACACACACTATGTAAATTAAAAAATTCATCAAAAGCTTATAAGCTATACTCGAAGACATTGATACACCAGTGACTATTAATCTAATAGGGGTGTATACCTTTAGCCCACAAACATAAAAATAAAGAAAATGAATGAAACCTAGTTATTTTGAAATCACAGACATTCTATTGAGACATATAGCTATTTTACAAATTGCACCTCCCTGTGGAGGGGAAGCAACTTTAAAACAAGAACAATATATAATAGAACTCGTAAAAAAAATCCCAGACATTAACCAAATGGGAGAGAATGCTAAACAAACCTCATTGTCACCATTCGCAGCGAAGGAAGCACCATCACAGTAGAGTACCTTTACTCTGTGCCAGTTGAAAAAATCTACTTACAGTAAAATGAGAATAAAATAAGAAAGAAAAAACCATCATATAAGACAGGGAAAGCTAAGAACTTGTTGCCATTCTAAAGGAAATGTTTATTCAGACTTATGGACCTGGATTCTCTTCAGCCTTGTTGCTAAGTAACCCAATGAATGGAATTTTTTCTCAAAGTGTGTTGACGACCCACGACGTGTCGTTTTACAGTAAATTCAGGACATGAGACTATTGCAACATCCTCCACCCTGCCACAAGGCTCGTAAAGTGATTAATCTGATTCACAAGATTAAAAGTACAACCAAAGTTGGAAAAATTGATAGGCATAAATGATAAATCCATATCATATACACTTTACCTTATAAAAACATTAGTTAGTACATCATGTCAAGAATCTAAACCGTCAACAGTGTTGTCAAGTGAATTCAAAATGTCATACATGATATATGAATCCTTACACTAAAAGAATCAAACTATATACCAAACATAGTTACTTTTACTTTTATTTTCTTCTTTATTTTGTGTAAATCAATCAAACTATATGTCAACATTCCACAGAGTCGTGCACAAACCTCTAACTGGATGAGCCAACTGTTAGCACCTGATTTGAACCTACGATGAAAGTGTTCGACCCGTAATGTTCCATCCAAAACATACTGAAAAATAATAGCCAAAATAAAAAATCTTTCAAGATTTGGAAAATCTGCAAGATTGGTCCAATTCCCTAATTACACTTATTTGCTTGCACTCGTCTCAGTGTTAAGTTCACGCAACCAACTCTTTAAGGAAGGAAGTTGTATACATGTAGCAACCATAAATGGCCCACGGAAATTTCTGTACCTTTTACAGAGCATATCAACAAGTCACCGAATGGGCGGAGCTGAGTCCAACGAAGAGAAGAAGAAGCGGGTTGAGGTCTTGATGTGTGGGTATTTCCCGAGAGCCACGTCGCAGCGGCCGAGATTTGTGGAAGGGCGTCTGCGTCGGCGGTTTCGGCTTCGGTATGGCTGTTCCCAATAATTGTTGTTCATTTATTGCACGTCATGTGTTTGTTCATTTGTCGAATCGACTATTTTCTTCAATCTGTAAGTCAGAAAAATTAATCGAGCGCACCGAAGAGGAAAAAGCCGAAAAGAAAACAAACGAAAAACATACCTTTCTCTCTCCAAGACCTATCGCCAGAGAGTCGCCGGTCATCGAAGAACTGCTAGAATCCGGTCGCCCCAGTCAGGCGATGAAAAAGCACAGGTGCTACCATAGCATCGCCTTTCGCAAGCCCGCCTGCGCATATAGGGTTTTCGTCCGAAGTGAGGAAAAAACAAGAGCAGGCCCAGAAAATCTTGATAAAGGACGTCATTTTGGTCGAAGGTGAAAAACTCATTTTGAAGGCAGACACGTGTCGAACGGGGGAAGGCCACTACTTCCTTTTTATATAATAAAGAAAAGAAGACTAGAGTTTGATCTCATTATCAAATTAATGACATATAAAATACCTGCCAACCCAGAAAATTATTCAACCAGTTATCTCAAAATAACAAGTAAATATGATTGAAGACTACCATAGAACTCAATGTTCACATGATTAAAAGTTTACGTTGTTGAGTAAATTATGAGACAATAAAAGTTAAAAACAACCAACTTCATTATAGAACCACCAAGCACAATTAAAAACAACCAACTTCATTATACAACCAATATAGGAAATATATTTTTACCTTAGAAGCAGAACTGTTTTTCGACGGCCACCCAGACCAAAACCAGTGCTCGTCTACAGCAGATCATAAATTTCTTCATTGTAAATTTCCAAAACACTAACCTGAACAAATGTCCCCAGTGCCAATTTCTCTCCATTTTCCTCTTCAGTCAATTCAACCCAGAATGCCTTTCAAGGAGTTATAAACTATCCCGGGCTGCTTCAAACACCCAAACATCATGTGGCTCTTTCCCGAGCCCGCTGGGCCATACATTCATGACCGTACATTTCTTCCCCAACTTGACACCATTAACCCTCACTCCACAAATTTACGATAAAAAAAACCTCGAGATCATCCTCTTCAGAATACGAGACACCATCGAGACTGAAATCTCTATACCCAATCTCTGTTTGCCTCTCAAAGATTTTCCATCTCCGTTGATTTGTAGGGCTGAGGTAGGGTTTGCGTTGGGCTTGTTCTTCTGCTCGGGATGATCTCGGATTCTGCCGACAACTTCAACTGGGTGCTCAGACGGAACGGCGCCAGCGGCCGCAGTGGTGACTCCGGTGAACTGCAGGCGGTGCTTTGACTGAGAAGTCCTGGATTGGTGGGCGGCTGTGTTGGGCTTTGTCGACGGCGTAGAATGGTTCGATTTTGATGAAGACATCTATACTTATATAATAATAAGGGGTGCCATTTACGTAAGTTGAAAATTCGTAATAAATGCATTATTAATTTAAACAACATAATATAATATCATATAATTTTTTTCAAATTCAAAATCTGCATTTATTTAGAAATCTAACGGACGTGTTATGAGTGTTTGATCTTTATCAAAAATCTTCTTCCCAAAATAAAATAGATTTCATGCATACAGTTGTTAAAGTTGTTTGGAATATATTTTTTTCCCCAAATTAAAACTTCTTCCCAAAATAAAACAGATTTCACGCATACAGTTGTTAAAGTTGTTTGGAATATATTTTTTTAAATCTTCTCCCCAAATTAAAACAGATTTCACGCGTACAGTTGATTGGAATTTTTTTTAAGCAATTACAAATTATATAAGAGATTCTTATCTGATTTGTTACTACAGACAATGATGTGGTCTAATTTGTTGGTACAGATAATTGTGATTGTCTCGAATTTTTTTAAAAAATAATTATAAATTATAGAAATTATTTTTTTGTCTGATTTTTTACTACAGATAATTATCAAATCTGATTTGTTACTAAAGATAATGATCTGAACTATTTTCACGCGTTATCAAAATTCTTTAAAAGCAATTCAACGATGCAATTTAAATTATAAATCTTCAAACACTGAATCAACGATTCTCACTCCTTCGACCTCCTGCAAAAAACCAAAAAACAGATCAAACAATGAATCAAGAATTTAGTTTAATCAAACAAGTCAATAGGTCTACTAAACCTATGCTTAAAGTTCGTACTGTACGAATGTTCTTCCAAGATTGGGGCAGTAAAGCTTTACACTTCGGAAGTAAAGCTTTACACTTTGGCAGAAATTTTTACCTTTTGTTTCCTTCAGTTTTGGAATTGTTGTGGCATATCAGAATCAGCAGTCATGTAATTTGTAAAATTTGAACTCCATGCATATGCAGCAAAACAAAAAACAGTTGATTAGTATGTGTAAACAAACATCTTGAAACAATAACCATACCGCATATTTGTATTACAATTTTCAATTATTATTATTATTATAAATTAAAGGTAACATGTGATTTGCAAATGGACTATACCTTTCTGTTGTACGTATTCTGTGCAATTGAGATCATTTCTGTATTGTTCAATAAAACAATGTCAGATGAAAAAACATAATTAGGTAAATGTACATAAAAATTGATACAATTACATACCTTATGAGTTTGTCCAATTGATGTTTGTCTGGACCGGAGTTCTTAATCTCAGATGAAAGACTTGTACGAAACCAAAATAGCAAAACAACATAGGTTAAAAACAAAAACAACTAAAAAAAACAAATAAATTAATACAATTTATCAACACAGATGCAAAAAACGGATGGTTTTGGAAGTCTTTCAGTATATCTCTTTCATATGTACAGAATTTTCGAACAAAATGAACTAGAACTTAAAAAATAAAAAAGAAATACAAATAATACTCGAGTGCAGATCGTAGTAATCTCAACAAAAAAAATTCGAACATGGTTAAAACAGATCGATTATCAGTTTAGCATATATTTCGATCGACAGAATTAGTTATCCCGTGAGAAAACTTAAAAAAACATAAAAACAAAACTAAATAAACTAAAAAAACATATCAGTTCATACAATTTATCAAACAAATAAAAGAAAACAAACGGTTTTTGAAGTCCTTCAGTAGATCTCTTTCGAATCTATATTTTTTTATAGCAAAATCAACTAGATCTGAAAAAATAAAAATAAAAAACGCAAATAAGTATCGAGTGCAGACCGTATTAAGATCGACTAAAAAAAAAATCGAAAATGCCAAAAAACATAACGATTATCAATTTATCAGTAGATTTCGATCAAAAAACTCAAGTATCCCTTGGAAAAAAAATAAGACAAAACAGGAATCGGGTTTTCAATAGAGGTTAATCATTAAAAAAAATCGAATAACCATAGATCCACCCATTTCTTCACTCAATCTCTAACATATTATCGATTTGACAATAATTTTACTTGCAAAACCATAACCGATGGCAGAGCAAATGTTAGAGAATGTTGAGAGAGTGAGACGGTGAATGAGTGAAAACCCTGGATTTTTGGGTTTTTTTACCTTTTATACCCCAAATGCTCAATTTTGGACCGTGGGATTTTGTTTTGATTTTCTGAACGTCCGATCAATAATTGAAATATGGACCGTACTCATGCTTTTATTTGGGTCAAATTTTCAGATACAAAAAACCAAACCGCACGGGCCGATCTGTAGGCTACTGGCCCAATAACATTAATGAATTTAGGGCCTTATTCATTTTTTAATTTGGGCTTTATTAATTACAATATATGTATTTTTAATGCTTTGTAGATTTGTACATGTATGTTATATTTTCACGCATTGTTTATCGATTTACGATTTATTTAATATTTGTACATTATATATAGATATATAAAATTAAATAAATATTAATATATATTAATCAAAATTTTTTCTTTCATTTGAGGTCAATTGTTTGTAATTTTTAAAAAAATAAACTGAAATATTTTTTTACTTGCACGAAACGAAAGTAATAGTCATCTTGCACTTATGCGTACTTCACATTCAAATATTCAAACAAGACGCGATGTTTTCCAGTCTTCACAAAATACGCCGCTATCTAATATCACTAATGGTAACTACATATAACAAATTGAAATAACTTTATTTATTTATAAATTTACATATATTTTTTTTTCTTATTTCTTTTCACTTTTGATTGCAGTTTTCGGAGCTCCGAAATCATGCATGAGGACGAATAATATATATTCCAACGTTTGGAGTATGATTTCTTTTTTACAATTACAAAATAATGCTTATATGTTCCTAACAACAAATATATTTATTAATTTTATTTTACGTTGCAGATACTATACATTCATCCCATGGTCCCAGTGGAAATTGGACTACCCAACATAAAACCTCATTCGCGTCTAAAACTAATCTTGCAAGAGAAACGTCTGTTATTGATCTCACAAGTGATGAAGAGCCAGAATTAAGAAATATTCCCGATTTAATTTGCCTCACCCAAGTCGTAGTAATAATAGTATTGGTGTTGTACTTGAAAGTAAGTTTCCTTATCAGACGTAGCTGTAAACGTTATAATCGTAACATAATTTAAAATTTGTTTTCATTAGTTACATATACAATGTAGGTGTCACTGCAGCAAGTCGACCCATGATAAAGAAGAAGGATACATCTAATTGTCATAATATCAATATGAAAACGTGGTCGTCCCATCTATTATTGATCTTACTCAGGAAGATGTTATTCAAGCAACGACACTAAAAAGAAAACGTGGTCGTCCTAAGAGAAATCAAGGAACAACATCAACAAATAGGGGTTGGTGGTTTTGCATATTTATATTTTTATATTTTTATATGGAAAAATCTAAGTCTACGCTTATGAAATACTTTTATTGTATTTTTTTAGAATACTGGGATATGGGTGGTGCAAACATGGAATGTCAGTATTGTGGAGCACTCTTCTGGTTTAGTGAAAAGAGAGTGAAAGATAAAAATAAAGGGGTACCATGATATAAAGGATGTTGCCAAAATGGAATTGTACAATCATTCTGGGACAGTCTTTATCGCATGTTGGTCTTTTTCTAAAGAAACTTGTCTTTAGTCATGGGCAATTATATGTTTTTGTTTCGCGTGTAACTACTAGAAGGGGGTTGAAGATATTAGTTTGTGAGAATGACGAGTTGCCCAGTAATCAAACTCACAATGTTGTGTACAAGGAGGTCTTTAATAATATATGATTGTTTCTTTGTCGAATATTATCTTATTGTATAATTTTCCTGCGTATTATAAAATTTTTATTGAATATTGCATCTTATAATATAATATTCTCCAACTAAATATATCCCGTGTCTCGCACGTGTCACGTACTACATATATACCGTACATTTGTCTGTTTTCATGTATATGATTATAAGCCTGAATTAATAACCTTAAAGACTGTGCACCCCGTGCATCGCACGGGTACTGTACTAGTGTATAAGATATTGAGAGAACAATTTCACTGTGATTAACGAATTTCAAAGAAGAATGGAAGAGAAGAAATCTATATATATATAATAAGAATTACTATTTACCATAAATAGTAACTAGAAATTTTAGGACAACATTAATTGCTTACTATTTTTGAATTTTTTTTCTTTTTTTTTTAAACATTAATCCTTATCATCATTTGACTTAGGTGGCCTAAAAAGGTGGAATTTAATTTGAAAAATTCAAATCAAATCGTGTCCTAAAAATTTGTATTTTTGTTAAATCTCTCATAATACAATCTCATATCAATACCATTTTTAAATTTATTTTCTTTAAACATACAACAGAAACAGTATCCACGTACACAATTTATGCTTTCCTAAATTTAAGTAATTTGTTGGTTCCCAAATTAGTGAAGATTCCTTGCATGAAGGATTTATACAATTTTGAAAAAATTGGGAACTTGATATAAACCCATTACATACGATATTGGTTTTGGAATTTGAATTTTCAAATTTCTTCCATATACGTACGCAACTATTCACTTCCTAAAATTAATTAATTTGTTGAATCAAATACGACATTGTGGTATTGGTTTTGGAATTTGAATTTTCAAATTTCTTCCATATACATACACAACTATTCACTTCCTAAAATCAAATACGATATTGTGGTCCACCAAAGTCAGTGGAGATATTTTGCATGAAGACTTTTTACAATTTAAAAATATTAGGACTCTTGGTATAAACATTTTGGATAGCCTTTTTTCACAAAATAAATTTGAGATGGATTAGCTAGGAATTTCAAATCATATCAAATTCATCTTTGATTACAAGTTAAAATTTTCTAAATTTTATTTTAAGAATAAAATTTATGGTTTCAAACTCGAGATAATGAGTTTGTAAATAGATAAATATTTTTTTATTTTCTAAAATATTTATTAAAAAATTATAATGACAATAAATTTTATGATAAAATAA